TTTGCTCGTCCGTGCTCTACAATACTCCGGCCAACTCGTCTGCTCAGCCCACTGAGGATTTTCTCGACGATTATCGGAAGTCTATACGGTATATCCCTTCTCCTCCCCCTGCCGCCACGACTCGCTGCCCCACCTAAAAACCTGAAGTAAACCACCTCCGGGACTTCCCTCAACAGCTGCTCGTGGATCAGAGAACGGTTCGCTCTTCATGGAATCATATCTCTCTCCGAATGAATGTGACTCGCCGTTACTCCTGTGAATGTCCATCGCCTCGCTAATTGGACCGATCTAAATATAGTCTTAATGCGGGTTTTCTCTGATTTCTCTCGCGCACCGTCTGCTTCGGCGGCAACCAAGCTGTTCGCGACAAGTTAAACTGAATACGGCTCCGAGGAGAAAAAATGGAAGAGCTCCGATTTAGTAATCCGACTCTTCTTTTACGTGTGGTCTCACACACGCCGATGAACTGGGATCTTTTGTTGCGGCGGCTGAACTGTGGATACTCTCGTGTGTGTTCCTCTAGCCCGAACACGTTGAAGAAACAAGAGAACTAAACCTGTAGGAGGCAGCGTTCCGTGTTCCACGCCGCCCACGGAAGGGTTCCTCTCTCCGGAATACGGCTAGTGTCGCTATCGAAAAATCTCTTGCTTGTTTGATTTCCGAACGCTCTCCCCACAAGAAGACTACGAGGTCGTCATCTACGTCGAGCCCGTAGACCCATGTGCTAGTCACCTTCGTCTGGGTCTACAGAGAACGGTCGGCTGGGCTGGAGCACGTATTCTCCTCCATGATGACCACACAATAAGACGACGAACAAATTCACGGATAGATGACTGGCTTCAAGGAATTGCCAAACGACGACTTCTCATGGATCGCATGAGATGGAGTCGTTAGGTATTTGGCTAAGATTAAAAACAGAATGAGCTCCTACGCCATTTCAAAGTCATTTCCTACCGGCTCGCTCACCGACCATGCTCGATCACCGGGATCATTCCGCAGAAGGTTTCGATATTTTTCTGTTCCACTAATTATCACATCGGCGGAAACGAGAATCGGGATTTCTATGCTGCAGGAACCTGCGAGTAGAATGAAGTGAATTCTGTCCGTGATTTCCTTGCCATTGAGCGATGCCGGTACTCTGTTGAGCGGTCTGGGTCGTTGGTGAAATTCACGGAAAGTTCGACGTGAGTTTCCACGGCGATAGGCGTCTCGATGATTGGAGCATCGTTGACTGGTTGTCAGCTCGCGTGCATGTCAGACGGGACGCCTAGTCGCCTTCTGGTCGGAGTGGCGTCTTCACTTCAGAAATCGAGACGCTTCCCGTCGAGTGAAATTATCGAGAGGATCCCAAGTGGCGTGTTTCTCCAGATGGAGATGAGTTCCTGTTTTCCCTTCTAATTATTGCTGGTTTCTGGAGGTCACCGCAAGCCTACGATCTGTACGACCATCAGTGAGAGATTGGCAAGCGTAGGTAGGTGGAGGAGAATCGACATCCGTAATCACCGTCTATAATGATGGCTGATTGTTCGTTGTCGTTGCTTACATCCGAATTCAGCAAGCAACCCTAGCAGGCTTTTCCCGAAGAGCGAGGGAACACTAACGCTGTCTAACTTATCAACAGCAGCGCTCGGACAAGTAGCCAGTCTATGGTTAGCTGTCTCGATGCTTCATAATAGTTTAAAAAGCATCGTCGAAGCGAATGGAAGAGAAATTGCGGCGTTGCTGCTTGGAAATTCATCATCAAACATCGATTATCCACCCTTTCACGATTTTGTCATGCGCTGAAAAATCCCTCAACGCTCAACCGATCTTTCGGCGGACGGATTGATGACGACTTTCGATATTATTCCCCGCGGACAGACGCACGGAGCGACCGACCATGGACAGAATGGCGATCATTTTATTGTCGTGTTGCGATTGGAAGAAAGAGCCTAGCAGCCAATGAACGAATCGAGCAATCATCTGACCAAACGGGTCGAGTTCGCATCACTGTGCTGTCATTGACTCTGACTTTGGTTCTGTAGAGCCTGCCCTTTCGCGTTTCGCACATACTAGTCGGGAGCGAGATTTGCTCCTGAATTTCTCTCTCAAACGATCATTTACCGCTCCGTTCCCGGCAAGGCATTATGCACCCAGGTCGACCGCCGATCCGCGGAGATCGGACCGGCGTCAGTGGGCTCGAGGAGAATTGTGGCGCGAACGCCGGAAGGCTGGAAGGTCGATTCATAATTTTTTCAGGGTCAGAAAGTATTGGGGGAAGGCTCACGTAAGAAGGTATCTCTATACGATCCACGCGGCACGCGGAGTCTGTACTGCTGGTCAACACCCACGGACAGAGATCTCTCCGTAGAAAGGGTCCTCACCGTGGTCTGACGCCGTTTGTCTATCGAACGAACTATCTTCATTGCTTGCGGCGCTGATAAGCGACAATACGATCCGAGACGATTAGCAGCCGTTTTCTCCATAGTGATCGGGTTGATCTGGTCTCCAGAAGATGTTCGGACTTCGAAAAGTTGCGCTTGGCTACGTAGAGAGCGAATGAGCGAACAAAACAGCCCGTTGGTTGCTCGCTCGGTCGAGCGGCCGACATATTGTAAATTGACGGATAGCACGCGAAGTCGCTTTCTGTTGGCAAGCATGCCTCGGCCGTCAACGGGTAGGCTGTGTGCTCTATCGTTCGTTGCGAATGTCGGCGAAACACCCATCGAGACACCGGGAAACTCCGGAGAGACTGTTCAAGAACTCGCGATCTGATCTCTCTCGAGAATTCACCAACTCCTCGAGTATTCTCCGTCCTCCCGATGGACAAGAGGTCGCCGCAGGTCCAGATGCAGAAGTTTCGTTTCGATAGCTGACCCAAAAGATCGGGATCAACGAGGCAGGATCCCATGCGGGAGCATCAGAAAAGATCCGAGAGACCAAGCTCAGCTGAGCTAAGTGATTGCTCCGTCGGACGACTGAGGGACACACAAATCTGTTGTTACGCGCTGTTTTCAGGGAGGGCAAATCTCGAACAAATCGTTTCGTGAATCTATGAGCGCTTGTCAGCCAGCAGAGAGCGCGTAGAGAGGCATCCATTCGACTAGTACACAATCGAGACCGCTCTCCGCCGCCCACGGGCAAATTACACGAGCATGTCTGTTCCCTGAGTTTTTACTTAGGCTAGGTAGGGTAATTAAGGAGCCGAGTTTTTAGCAAGACTGTTAATTATTAAAATATCCTTGTCTTCGTGCCGACGTTGGACTCGACAACATCTCCTCCTTTCCCCTAGGGGTATGCCGTCGGGCTGATCGGTCAGTCGGTCGGTTGGGTCGGACATTCGATCGCGGTGCGAGGTGTGAATGTGTTTTTCCCTTAGATTTTTGCGCCATTGACCCCTCTTAATTGTCTTGCTTATTAGCAATCAACCACCCGACAAGGGTAGGGGGTGGAGTCGTCCCCTCCGCTCTCTGGCGGATCGAACGACGGCACCAAGGGCGCTCGGCCTCATTTGGTCTCACGTCAATTTTTTCCGCATCTAGTGGGAATTCTCCCCGGTCAGTTGAATGCGGTACGCCCACAGAACAGGTGATCGGCTTTTGCATTCGAATTCGGTGAGCACACCATTGAAGCAACGGTAAAAGGTGGTGTCTCGTAGACTGTTGTTGACAGGTCTTCACCCCACCACCACCACCGCTTCTGCTGCTGCCAGAGCGATCGCCGAGCCATCACTCGCCGGTGCGAACCGCTGCCATTTAATATGAGTGAAGGGCGAATGCTTCGAAGTTCACTGTGACCGCCTTCCTCCGGCTTGCGCGGGGGTGTGACTTAACTTTGATTTCTCGAATCCGTCGTCGTCGGCGGTCGTACTTGTTGTCGTGGTCGTCGTCGTCGACGTTGTCCAGAATAGTCGAGAGAGAGTGCGGAGAAGACCCTGCGCGGCGACGGTGCGCGCTAGCGTTCGAACCAAATCCCCATAGATGGGCAGATTAATAAGATGAATTGCTCGTAGAACGGAAACGCCGATGGATGCTTGAATGCCGGTCTCTCGAAGAAAAAATAACAGAGATAATGAACACCGACAACAGATATATGACTGCTGTCGAAAGTTTCCCGTCGGAACGCTGATCGAATGGGCAATCACCAGTACGTGGAAGCAGAAGCTTGCACCGCCACTGATGAGGAGCTTGATTCGGGATCCCGTATGAGATGTGGAGCTCACTTCTATAGCTCTCATTTTCAAGTATCGAACATTCAATTTCCGAAGATAAGAAGCAGAAAAGTCTTCGACGACGCCGACTTTTTCCACGAACGGTTATTCTGTCTGACGTCTTGCACATCGGTTCTGCTTTCTGATGGGCTGGAGCTGGTTGATTCTGTCGTTCGCTCGCTCGGTCGACCGATCGGTTGTGGTTCGTTGTCGTACCCGTGTGGGAGTTTTACGAGTTTTGACCGTTCTGTTCGTCCGCGGGTCACGACTATGTAGCCGGGCCGCGACTTTACAACCGTATTTAGTATTTGCTCCGATAACGTATTGGTTCGGCTTTGGCTGAACAATGGCGGCCGTCGCTTGAGCACCATCAGCGACGGCGAAAGCAACCGCGGCGGGCAAGGATATCGGCCGACGGACTGACGGACGGACTGGAATGATGGCTGATTCCCTGTATAGAAGGCTTGTCTCTAGCGAGAGCATCGTCCAAGGACGACAGCATACGTTCTGTCGGTCGTTTCCATAGAATTAGCGGAGTGACCGCGCTGATCACCGTCAATGAGTTCTAACAGAGATTTTCTTCTTCTCTTCCAGTGTCCGTAATGAATCGGAGCTTAAGACCTACTTGCTATGAGGAAAAAAAACTGAAGCTCCCGCGTTCGTTACAATTCAGGAGAAGAATTACATCGACTCTTTGCGACTATGTGCGATACTGGTAAGTTGACCCACCCCCCAAGTATGCGGTTTTCTACCTGGTCGAGTCAAGAAAGTCTTCGACGGACGGAGGTCTGACCGAGAGTTCTCTTGCGATTCAGGCCAAGGAAGCGAGCCGGCATCGCTCGATCTGAGCTTTCCTGTGCTGCGACCTCAAGCTACATCGAGTCCCCTCCCAGTCGTCGGTGAAATGACCCCCGAAGAGGGAATTTTGGCCATGGGCGCGCAACAGGATCAGAGCCTGACTCTGACCAAGAGCCTCAGCCCAAGTCAGGCTCCTCAGGCACCCGCCGACGTGGAGTCATTCACCGGTCGAATTGTCTACAATCCGGACGGGTCGGCGTTCATCATCGACTCGGAGACTTCGGACGACTCGACATCGTTACCTGTACCCCCTCAAGAGGGTGCGATCGTTGACGGTCGGGGCCTGACGCCACCCCGAGGCTCGGAGCCGTCGATCCCCCAGGTCGTCAACGCGTTCCACATTCAGAAAGCCGACTGTGACGGCAGTCCCAAAGCACTGAGCAACACACCTCTGGTGCACAGTTATAGAGTTTTCAGCGTGAGGGCTCGCAACGGAAAAACGCGTCTCGTTCAACAGCAAGATCACCAGGAGCCGAGTGAGAGTCTGTCCCAGTTTATCCAAGACAGTCATTCACCGGCGAGACCGATTTTAATGTGTTTTCTGTGTAAACTCTCCTTCGGCTTCTCAAAGTCGTTCGTGAGCCACGCGACCGGACAACACGGTTTGTCGTTGGGCGAAGACGAATCCTCCCAGTTAGAGCGACGAGCTGTGTCCGCCATCATCCAAGGGGTAGGAAGGGAGAAGGAGCCCGTCTTGTCTTTTCTTGAGCCCCTGCGACCAACGAGCTACCGCAACAACCCATCGTCCACGTCAACGTCGTCCGGAAACCGTGCTCCGGAGAGGAGCCAATCAGACTCTCATGTAAATAATTCCAGCCACTGTGATATTCAAACTTCAAAAACACCTGCAGCAGCAGCAGCAGCAACCACAACAGCAGGTGTACCATCTACAACTCCACCACCATTACCAGCTACAGCAGCAGCAATAGCGAAAACGTCACCTACGATTCCTGCGTCGTCGTCGTCGTTGTCAACTTCTACTCCCTCGTCGTCATTGTGTCATCAGTCCTCGTCGTTGTCGCATCCATCTGCAATGAGCCCACCTAGCAGCATAGAACAAGCGTATTCAACCAGCCAAAGTCAACACGACGCTTCAAGAACGTCGAGTCCTCTATCTCTTAATTTGTCAACTCGCCGAAGCCATTCCCCGAGTCCTCCGAGCGGATCGCCGGCACCTAGCAAGGAACTCGAGGAGTTGGCCAACATCGAGCGGGTCGCTCGGATGGCGCAGATGGCCGAGCAGCAGCAGCAACAACAGCAACACGTCAGCAAGCGGGACGTCGAATCTCCAAACCATCGGCCGACGTCTGCCGGTTCGACGGCGTCTTCTCCCGGCGCCACCGCACCCAAGTCGTTGATAGCCAGCGCGCAAGCTCAAGCTTTATTCAGTGCGATAATGCAACAGCAGCTCGGACTACAGTCCGTCTGTCCGCAGCATCCCGATGGCAAACCGTCGGGCAGTGAGTGCAGCAAATGCGATGCTCGAGCCGCCCAGCTAGGTGCACAAGTACAGAGTCAGCTGCAGAGCATCCAACAGAATTTGCAACAGTCCCAGCTGCAAGCGCAGATTTCCCAGTTGAATCAACTGAATCAGTTGGCAATAGGACAGCTGCCTATGGGCCAGATCAGTCAGCAGCTGCAGTCCTCCAGTCCGGCTCCGTCGCCCCAGGTAATGCACTCCAGGAACTCGTGCAAGACGCTCAAGTGTCCGAAGTGCAACTGGCATTACAAGTATCAGGAGACGTTGGAGATTCACATGAAAGAAAAGCACCCCGAGAACGACATGAGCTGCGTCTACTGCCTTACGAATCAGCCCCATCCGCGACTCGCGCGAGGGGAGACCTATACCTGCGGATACAAACCCTATCGATGTGATGTGTGCAACTACAGCACAACTACGAAAGGTGAGAACCATTGAGGCGCCATTGCCATGACGCACGATGACGTCATTCCTCAAGACCATTATAGAAGTCCCTTCTGGATTCAAACGTGAGACAGGCGACGAGTAATCGAAAGAACCTTCGGGATAGATGTAGAAAAACGAAATGAGAAATAAAGGCAGAATAATGCCCCTGTCTAGCTACGTAGACCGCTTTCGAGAATGACGGTTGATCTGATGGTACGATTGACATTCCAGGGAACCTCTCAATCCACATGCAATCAGACAAGCACATCAACAACATGCAGGAACTCCAGAATGGCCAGTTGCAAGCGGTGGGCGGAGGTGGCCCAGCTGCGCCGTTTGCTCCGATGCACTTCCCCGCACCTCTCAAGGCCCCCGAACCTGAACGACCGAAACAGGCCAGTCCTAAGCCCAAAACCCCGTTTCGCTGCGATATTTGCAACTACGATACGAACGTGGCTCGGAATCTACGGATACACATGACATCTGAAAAGCACACTCACAATCAAGCCGTGCGCGATCAGAACAGAAAGAGCTACGAAGCCCTCCAGGCATTGGGCGGGGGTGGTGGCAGCGCCGGAAACCAGTCGGGTCTCGACCAGGCGCTGGGGGCTTTAGGGCAGAACCCCCTGTTGGGTCTGCACCCAGCGTTTCTTCAGCAGCTGCAGCAAGCGTCGAATGCACAGGACGTCGGTGCGGGTCAATCGCCAGAGGTACAGTTGGCTGACTTCGCATACAACCAGGCACTTCTCGTCTACGCGCATCATCATCAACAGCAGCAGCAGCAGCAGCAACAACAGCAGCAGCAGCAGCAGCAGCAACAACAAAAGCAACAACAACAGCAGCTACAGAATCATCACCATCATCAAAGCACCCCGCAAACGGTTCACAAAAACAATAATCCCACGCTGGACATGGAACATCCCGATCCTACCCTTAGGTGAGTTCACGGTTCCTTCCCGAAGAAGGGTGGGGGGGGCGGGGGAGACGACCAGAAGTCGGTCTCGGGTTCGGCTGGGAGCGGAAGCTGACGGAAACAAGGTAATGATCGGGGAGACGAGACACTTGAACGTTCTTCTTTTGCGTATTGCAGGTGCGACGTGTCTTGCGACGAAACCTCGCGAATATATCAGTGCTGCGTTTGCTGTGTGTTTTCAGTGGATAGTGTGGAGGCTCTGGGAGCCCATTTCCAAATGGACAGATCGAGAACCAGAGAGGACGAGGTTCTGGTGGCAGTCGCCGGCAGCTACATCTGCAAGCTCTGCACGTATAAGACGAACCTCCGAGCCAATTTCCAGCTCCACTGTAAAACGGACAAGCATCTGCAGCGCCTTCAACAAGTCAACCACGTCAAAGAGGGCGGTCAACGGAACGAGTGGAAGCTCAAGTACGTCAACATGTCGAACCCGGTTCAGGTGCGCTGCAACGCCTGTGATTACTACACCAACTCTGTGCACAAGCTCCAGCTGCATGCGGCCAATCCGCGACATCAAATCTGCCAGAGGCTCTTCCAGCATTTGGTGCAACTGGAGTCAGCTCATCCGCCTCAGGCTCAGCAGCAACATCTCCTGCTGTACAGCTGCAAGCCTTGTGAGTTCAACACTGCCAAGAGGTCCCAACTCATCGAGCACTTCGGTGGAACCGACCACGTGAGGAAGGTCCAGACCGAGAGCTTTGACATCAGGGACATGTTTCAAGTCACTGTCAAGGATCACGGTGAGTACTTCAATCGTATGCGTTCAGAGACGGGGCATTGGAGCAGGATCTCTTCTCGTTCGCGGGGTGGCCGGATCCAGGATTCGGTCGGGGGAATCATTGGAGAGGTTGTGGGAGACGAGGGCGAATTTCGTGGACCGCAGTCGAACATTTTCTTCCGTTTGTCCCCAGGTGCCGATTTGAGCTGTTCCTCGAAAGCCGCGGAATCACGACATGTGTGTAGTTTGTGCAGCTTCACCTGTGAGTCTGACGAAGCTTTCCGAGAACACTTGGCGTCCCATCCCGAACTCAAGGACCGAGCGAAGTCAGAAGAAAGCAAGGCCGACACCGACAAAGACTCGGGCAACGATTCCGAGTTGAGTCGCAAGAAAGACCTTGACACCTCTGGCAGCAGCTCGGGTTGCGTGCAATGTCCGCTGTGCCAGGACGAGTTCCCGGATCTTGAGATGATTGGCCAGCATCTGCTGGCGGTGCACAACGTCACCAAAGAGGGTCTACAGAGACTGCTTGCGATCGTGCAGGCCACCGGAGAGGCGCGTCCGTCGTCGAAGCGGACCCGTCTCGACTCCGGCACCGAAACCGAGGGTCCGGACGAGAAGCAGGACACCGACACCGAGCGCTCCGATAACAATAAGGAAGACTCCGATGACAGGGCAGAGCCGGAAGATCTGATCTGCAAGAAGTGCGGGGAGCAATTCCAAAATCTCGACAACGTTCTCAACCACCTGCAAGACATGCCGGAGCATTTTGAAGAGGCCGGCTCGTTCCAATGCTGGAAAGCCGGCTGTGAGGCATCGTTCGGGGCTGTGCCAGATCTCAGAAACCACTTCAAAAGTCATTTTATCACCCTTACGTCCGATCTCACCGTCTCTGAGAGACACGTCTACAAATATCGCTGTAACCAGTGTTCTCTAGCGTTCAAGACGATGGAGAAGCTCCAGCTGCACTCGCAGTATCACGCCATCCGGCAGGCGACCAGCTGTGTGATTTGTGGGAGAAATTTCAGATCGGTGCAAGCGGTTCAAAAGCACGTCGAGAGCTCCCATTCGAACATGACGCTCGACGAACGGGACAAATATCAGGATTATCTCGCCAAGAATCCTTTCCTCCTCAACAAAGAAAGTGGATCCGGGGTTCTGGACCCAGTGCTCAACGAGATGCTCAAGAAAGAAAGCCTCCGTGACGCGGTCGTTGCTAACGCCAGCGTTGCGGCGGCATCGGTCGCCAACGCCGCCGCCGCCGCCACCGCGGACGACGATCAAGCGTCCGGTCAACATGTCCACAATATCATGATGATGATGATGTCGGCGGCAGCCTCCACGACGGCCAGCGAGGACCACGAAAACAATCAGCTGGGCGAGTTCGGCGATGACGGTGACGAGGCCGATGGCAAGCAGAAATTCATCGAGGATTACATGAACTCTCCTCAGTTGGCCGAAGACGCCTACAACGATCCCAATCGGAAGTACAAGTGTCATCGATGCCGACTCGCCTTCACGAAACAGTCGTATCTGCAGAAGCACATCGATAGTCCTGGCCATCGCGCCAAGGCCGGTCATCCTGTCATCGACAAGTACAACGATCCTTCTCGCCCCTACAAATGCTCCCTCTGCAAGGAGAGCTTCACCCAGAACAACATCCTGATCGCTCACTACAAGTCGGTGAGCCACATGCACAAACTCAAGCAGGACGTCCAAGACCCTTTCACTGGTGTTCCTCAAATGAACAGTGTCCAAAACTCAGTTGGAGCCGGTCATCTTGGCTCGAAAGACGGCGCTGGCACGCCGTCTGCGCCCGGGACGCCCACTGGTCAGATTTCGCCTAGCAGAAGCTCTCCGTCGCCGGCCACTCTCGCTAACAACAACAACGTCGTCGTCAATGAAGACAAGCCATACAAGTGCAACCTTTGCAAAGTCAGTTACGGCCAGAACGCCACACTGGAAATCCACATTCGGTCCGTGCTCCATCAGAGTCGGGCTGCGAAAATGCAGGAGTTGATCCTTCAGGGTCAGATCGATCTTCAGCTACCGATAATCGAACGACCCGACGAGCCAATGGATATCGACCGAGAGCAGCAGCAGCAGCAGCAACAACTACAACATCAGCAACATGCGACCGTTGCTGAACAGTTGAATTTGCAAAAGTTCCAGCAGCTAGCTCAGAACCTCCAGAACCTACAGAACCTTCAGAACCTCGCCCAAAATATGCAGGGCGGCGGAGGAGGGGCACACCATGCGACCGACAAGGAGAGAGAGCTTCTACAGCAACTTCTGAGCCACATGGGGCAAACCGGTGCGCAGACGTGCCAAGCCTGCAACCAATCGTTTGCGAACGCCGACGCGTTGAATCAGCATCAGATGTTCTGTCCGATGACGAACGCGGCAGCGATTCTCCAGAAGCAAGCTCAACAGCATCAGCAGAACGCCGCGGTGCAACACCTATTGTCAGCATTGGCAAGCGGCGACATGAGCCAACTGAAGCCACAAAACCTGCAGACTATCAACCAGAACTTTCCATCCAGCAATCCATCGTCGAGACGACCGCCAATGTACAAGCATCTGCTTGAATCGTTCGGTTTCGACGTCGTCATGCAGTACAACGAATTCAATCAGAAAGTCAAGAAAGAGACTCCCGAACCGAAACACACGCCCAAGCCGAACAGTATCGGGGATTGCCAAGCAACCACTGACGAGTCTACAGCTGAAAACCAGGAAAACCAGAAGATCAGATCTAACGTAAACGCTTCGATAGCAAGCGGGGATATGGAGGGCAGTGTCCTGAGACAGGACGTCGACGGGGAACACGACCAGGAGGAGAAAGAGGATGAGGATAAGAAGGAGCTGCTCCAGGAGCAGCTCAGGAACAGCTGCGACAGCAGCGACGACAACAACAAGAGCGGAAGCAACAACAACGAAAACAATAATAACAACAGCAGCAGCAACGACAACCATGGGGTAGACGCTAACGAGGGGTCGACAGACGAACAGACAATTAAAACAGACGTGAGCAGTAAAACGCCTTCCGAACTCCGCGACTCAGCGAAGGATTCTGAAGCGAAACCGGCGGTTTCCGGGAAGCTCGTCGATCTTCCCGAGCTGAACAGATGCCGCTGCCCGGAGTGCGGCAAGGAATTCTCGAGCGTTTGGGTATTGAAGGCACACCGCGAGGAAGTTCACAAGGACATGGTGCCTGTAGAGGTTGTGTCGAAAGTTGCAGAAAGGTTTAGGAACGATTTCGAGAACAAAAACCCCACTCCAGGGTCCGGCAATCCCTCTTCCGGAGCCGCCGGGAACCAGCAGTCGAGCAACAACCAACAACTATCAGGCACTACGACGACGAACGGACCCACGGGCCCCAGCAACGCGAGCTCCGGCATCAGCCTCGGCGGTTCCGGCGCCTCGACCTCCGCAACCTCTAAGATCAAACAAGAGCCAGCTGACTCTCATAATCAGCCGCCACAGCAACCGTCGAAACACCACGATGAAGGTCAGCCGGCGGCGCACAGACGTAGCAACGCGTCGTCTGCGGAAGCGCCGACCAAATGCGGAAGTGCGGACTCGGCCCAGCCACAAGCGAAAAAGCCTTCATTACCCAAAAGCGGACCGCAGAGCCATGACAACGGCGGCAACCGAAGCGTCGATCAGAGCGCGGAGATCGCGCAGGCCCAGCTCCAGATGCTTATGCAGATGGGTCTGATGGGTCTGCCGCCCCAACTAGCGACGGCCCAATCGTTGCAGCAGCAACTCAGTGGTCAACTGCCCCCCATGCACCCGTTATCCATGATGATGATGAATCCCCTCAACCCCCTCCCACCTCCTATGGAACCAATTCTCGCCGCTGTTGCCCTCCAACACGCATTGGTGACTGGCCAGGATCCTGCCCTGTTGGCTGCTCAACAGAAGGCCATCCAACAGCAGATGGCCGCAGCCAGCGCCGCAGGTGCCGACCCTGCGATGCTGGCCGCCCAGCAGAAGTTCTTCCACCAGCAGCTGATGCAGTTCCAATTGGCGGCTGCCGCAAACCAACAGGGCTGTGCTGCTCAGGGCGAGACCCAGGCCTCGCTGAAGCAGCAGCAGCAGCAGCAACAGCAGCTGTTCCAGCAGATGTTGGGTCAAGTGGGCCAAGGCCCCGACCCTCTTGGTCACCAGAAGATGCTGCAGCAGCAGCTCCTAGCCAGCCAGCAGCAACAGCAGCAGCAGCAGCAAGTCCAGCAGCAGCAAGCCCAGCAGCACTCGCAACAACAGCAACAGCAGCAGCAACAACAACAGCAACAACAGCAGCAGAAGCGAGCTCGCACGAGAATCACCGACGAGCAGCTGAAGATTCTTCGTGCTTACTTCGACATCAACAACTCCCCGACCGAAGAGGCTCTCCTTGAGATGTCGGAGAAATCTGGACTTCCACTAAAGGTACGTTGCCTTATTCTCTTGCTCGTGGGGGATGCCCGGACGCGCGGGTACGTTCCGGCACGAGGCTCCGACTAACTCTGTCGTTTTTCCCTTCCTCTCCGCTACGTGCAGGTGATCAAACACTGGTTCCGCAACACGCTATTCAAGGAGCGCCAACGAAACAAGGACTCCCCCTACAACTTCAATAATCCCCCTTCAACCTACCTTAACCTCGAAGAGTACGAGAAGACCGGAGAGGCGAAAGTCATTCCGATTTCGGAAATATGTAATTCTGGTTCAACTGATAGCAAGCCGGCAGTGGTTGGAGGCATCGCATCGGTCTCCTCCTCGGCGTCGATCGAAGACAAAAAGCCGACCCCGGTACCGTCGCCTGCGCTAAAACACCCCACACCTCAGGCATCACCCGCGCCCACCAGTGCGGGCATTCAGATCAAGCAGGAACTGGTAGTCACACCGAAGTCCAGTTCGCTCGGACACGGTGGTGGATCAGCGAAGTCGACAAACTCCAACCGAGAGTCGTCGACCGCGGCAGCGGCGGCGGCTGCTGCGGCCGCGGCGGCCCAACAGCAAGCGGCCGCAATGGCTCAACAGATGATCGTCATGGCGATGATGATGGGCGATGGTGGGCCAGCCGGATCAGCTGGCAGCAAAGATCAGACCGATGGGGTACATGAGCTCTTTAAGAACCACGAGAGACTTTTGCAAGCAAAGCCCGAACTGCTTAACAACCCCGAACTGCTGCACGAGCAGCTGTTGAAGGAGGTGCAGGCGCAAACTCAGGCGGCGCTTGGCAGCACAGCTCCGGCGACAGCGCTCGGAATTCCGTCCTTGAATTTGGCGGCAGCTTCGCCCTCTGCGCCAACGCCGCCCAGCGGAAAGCGCGCCAACAGAACTCGCTTCACGGATTATCAGATCAAGGTTTTGCAGGAATTCTTCGAATCCAATGCCTATCCGAAAGACGATGATTTGGAGTATTTGTCGAAACTACTTAATCTCAGTCCGCGCGTGATCGTGGTGTGGTTTCAGAATGCCAGGCAGAAGGCGAGGAAGGTCTACGAAAACCAACCGCAGACCGCCGAGGATGAAAGCGGGAGATTCCAAAGAACTCCCGGGCTAAATTATCAGTGCAAAAAGTGTCAACAAGTGTTCCAACGCTACTACGAGCTCATCAAGCATCAGAAGAACTCCTGCTTCAAGGACGAAAACCCCATTGCTCTCCAGCTCAAATCAGCTGCTCAGGAGCAAGCCTCCCAACCCGATCGTCCTGAAAGCAGCATTGGCAGTAGCCAAACCCCACCTGACACGCCAGAACCATCGGGGACCCCTAAAAGCACGGCTTCGTCTGGTGCTAACCCTGGCTCGGATCGCGGTTCGCTTCCGACTCTAGGAGCGCTTTCCGCCGCCCTGAGCGCTCAAGGTCTCTCAGCCGCCGGTGTCCCTGCCGCCGCCGCTGCTGCTGCCGCCGCTGCAGCCGGTGCGGCAGCCGGAAGTTTCCGCTGCGACAAGTGCCCCATGGTGTTTCCACGCTTTGAGCTATGGCGAGAACACCAAGTCATACACATCATGAATCCCAATTTGTTTCCTGGAACACCGACCACCAACCCGAACAAAGCTCCGTCATTGCCTGTGAATCCTGGTCAGAACGCGTTGGCTTTTCCCGGCATGATGGAAGATACCAGCAACGGTCAATGGAAGCGAAAGCTAGATTCGGCTAGCACGGACGAGGAGTGCTCTCCAAACAAAGATGCCAGCGGAGACGGCTCTCCAAGGTGAGTTCCCTCTGTGACCGTCGCGACGTGATTACTAATCGGTCAGACGTTGCGCCTAGTGGTGAAGGGATTTGCCCAAAACGATCTCGAGCTCTCATTATCGCGCAGGACAAGCCGGCGACAAGAGACGTGGGTTCAGAAATGTTCGGGCCGAGAACCTGCCTAACCCCGAGCCGATTCCAGGGACAAACGTCTGCGTACGACCATCCTTCCGGAGCAACTCGACTTCCTCTATCAGAAGTACCAGCAAGAGTCGAATCCCAGTCGGAAGATGCTGGAATCTATCGCGCGAGATGTCGGGCTCAAGAAGCGAGTGGTGCAGGTTTGGTTCCAGAACACGAGGGCCCGAGAACGTAAAGGCCAGTTCAGAGCTCACCAACAAGCAATCCACAAGCGATGCCCCTTCTGTCGAGCATTGTTCAAAGCCCGCAGCGCGTTGGAATCGCATCTCGCGACTCGGCACGCCGATCTCTACTCCAAGGGTGAGTAATTCCTTACACTTCGACCTTTTTTCCCCGCACGCTCAGACTGCGTCCGCGGTAGAATCGTCGATGTATAGGTCGCAGTGTCCCCGAATGCGCAGCTTTGGAATCGGAAGGCAGATAGAGCCGGCCGGCCGCTCGAAAGTCGATGTGCAGACTGACGAGCAGACTCACAGCAAAACGCTCGCAATCCCCGAAGGAACGATCGTTCGTTTCTCGTTGGTCGCTCGCTGCGTTCGTCGTCGACGTTGCCGGTCGCTTTGTCATTAAAATTTCATTTACGCTAATGATCCATCGCCGCACGAAGCAGGAACTCCACCGCCGCCGACAAAATCACCAGCGCTGTCTTCGAGTTGAATCTCAACGAGAACGGCAGCGTCGATGATTGCGATGCGTGGTGTCAGCTAGTTCGTGCGTCAATGAAACATGTGAAGGAATGAGCTCCTCGTTATCGTCGATGTTCGAACTGAATCGTACGGGCGGTTGAGATTGTCCAGAGGACATCCCCTACGAAAAAAAACATTCCCCTCGGGCACCCCGCCGGAAGAGTGAAATACCGGTTTTCGGTGCGCTCCCCTCAACTCGTCGTGGGTCGTGCACTGGAATCATAGTCCACGTCCTAAGAATTTCGTTTTCTGCTCGGAATGAAAGTCAACAAAAACGACGCTTCATTCCGTGGTGTTTCCGCGGACCAAATGTCCAAGAGGGGGCGGATGCGAGCCCGCTTTTCAGGGGCTCTCACTTCTCTGTCGGCTAACAGTTCTGTCGCTTGTCCTACAAGTTTCCCGTTTTCGGCCTTCGAACAATGACGACGACTTCGAGCAAGACAATTCCTTGCGGGAATCGTAAAATCAAGATAACCTTGGATATCGCGATCCACAGTGTTAGCCCAGTCTTCTGGGCCGATCATTTTACCAGATGGGACGACTGCGAGCGTAGAATTGTCAGACGCGTTTCCGCAAATTCTCTCAGAAATCTATTTGAATTCCGTAATTGAATGTTGCGATCGGTTCGTCTGGCAGAATTTCACAATAATTTCCGGACACTTCAAACATCTCGGGAATTCAAGCGATGCGAACTGTCTGACGTCCGTGGATGGTCAGCCGGAGCTCGTTCGGTACAGAGTAGTCCGGCTAGATCGAGGGAGTGATCGAATGTCCAGCTCGTCGGAGCGTGTCACCCTCTGCAAAACCCCTGAGTAATGACCAACTCACGGTGGAACGCATTAGATCTTTTTATAGGGAAACTCATAAGTGCTCAGTGCAGTCAGTACCGCCTTTGCTTAAAAGAGTGTGGGTCTTTTTTCTTGAAAGCTGATTCCGCCGTCACCGAAGTCGGCGATAGCAACAGCGACGAGAGCGACAGCGCATCGTTGAACTCAACTCATTTTGAATGAACGTCATCATCACATCATTCGACGGACAGACAGTGCCCGGTTCCTTGCTCAGTCTCACTCAGTCAGTAGGTTCAGGGGAACTTGGTTGCTGCCGCCACCGTGGTCGCCGCCGCGTCGTCGTCGCAGCGGCAGCAGCGAGAAATGATGTAAAATTCTGAAGCTGCGTCATCAGCACGACTCCTCTTCATCATGAACAGAAGAAAGAAAAGAGGGAAAACGAAAATAATAATAATCATAACAATAAAAAAAAGGTGTATGGATGACGATGTTGTTGCGGCGCTCCTCCAGCCGGCCGTCTCACTGGCCAGCCGTCCGGCCGCTCAGACGTCGCTCGCCTGCTTCCTCGGTGGGTCGTGTTAATGTTGTTACCACGAGCGATGCCGACATCGGGAACATTGTTGACGTCGTCATCATCGTCGTCAACATCGATCCGGTGGTGACGCACCGGTGGCACGCTGAATAACGAATTAAGGAGCGAACTTGAATTCGAAAAACAAGCTGACTTAGCAAGCGCGGTACGCCGGCCGTTTCCTCGAGTCAATCCACGGATGAAGCGCATGTGGAGAGAACTTCCTCGAGCTGGAGTTATGCTGCTCTTCGGTTTCTCACCGTTGCCCCTCGAAGCCGGCGAAAGGTCGTAGGCCCAGAGAAGTTCGGGGAAGCGATGAGATGAGACTTCGTCGGCGACGGAGGCTGTTGTATGAACGCTAGCCTTCCCTCCATCAGGCCCAAGTCCGTGCCTGCTTCGAAGTGAAGAGCGCCCTCCGCGATACTGTTTCCAAGCGGCGAGCCCTCGATTACGTCGACGTATATTTTTTCTAATATTCTCACTCGTGATCAAGCATGCTTTCTGGGTTTGCGGATGGGCGTCGACGCCTTTGTCGTTCGCTGCTTGGTCGCTCGGTCGGCAGAGCTGCAGCTATTGCCGTTCGGTGTGTTCGAATGGCTGCAGGTAGGCTTTGGAATAGCGATTCACGCGCATGATGCCCGTCTGTTTGACGGAATGTCTGGTTGGTTGGCTGGGTGGCTCGGATGGCTGGAGGGTTGGCGCGCGCGCGTTTCAACCTATCCATTGTTGTTGTCGTGGCGGTCGTGGTCGTCGACGTCGTCGTCGCCGCCGCCGCTTCTCAGCTAAATACCTCAGCTTGGTAATTACAAGGCTCGCTGCATTCGCTGACTGCATCGGATTGGACGGCGTGCGAGGCGCCGCCTCCCTGCTAGCTAGCTAGCGACGGAACAGCAGCGTGCCAGAAACATTATGAACAGACAGTGGCTGAACAGGAAGGATAATCCGCGATATACCCGCTTAAGGAATCGAGCTCAGGAGCTCCTCGAGCGAATCGTTCCCGGAAACCTCGGGCTCTCCCGACGAAACATACGCGGTACTTTCAATGAGCCACCCGAGCATATCGCTCATGAGTCCTTCCCCTTCCAGGAGAACTAAACATCGACACATTCCCGGATGGCGACGCAGACAACTCCAATCCTGACGACAACACTTCGATGATCGGCGAGGAGAACAAAAACAATGTCGACGAGTTCAAGAGATTCCTCGAGGAGATCAGCGGTCCAACCGACCTGAGTGCCAAGAGGCAAGGTATGACACGTTTCTGGAAGGAGAAAACCCGAATCCCGAGGACGACCCGGCGAAGAGCCGGGGTCGTTACCGGGATCCGGGTGGTAGTAATTTAAGGACGGAGTTATTTAAGAGCATAGGGCTGAGTACAGGCAAAGTGGAAAGTAGCCCACTTTCCAGTCTAAGCCAAATTATTTTGGCGTGCTTCAGGTGAGACACCTTTGGATCTCAGCAGGCCCGATGAGCCCCACGCGAAACCGCGAACGGGTCTGGCCCGCCCAGAGTCCGACTCCGAAGACACTCAGGACCAAAACGATGTGAACATGTCCGAGACCGGTTCGGTGGTGTACTATGACCAGCAAACGTCCCCCGGTTCGTTCGAGGGGAGACTCAACATTCCAGGCGGAGGTCAAGCGAAACGCTTCCGTACACAGATGAGCTCGACTCAGCTTCGAGTGATGAAGTCCATATTCCACGATTACAAAACGCCCACGATGGCCGAGTGCGAGAGTTTAGGCGCTCAGATCGGCCTTCAGAAACGAGTTATCCAGGTGTGGTTTCAAAACGCACGAGCCAAAGAAAAAAAAGCTAAAGCCGCCGCACTGAAACTAGGCCAAGTTCCGGAGCCGGATCCTCCGAGACCGGAGTTCTGTGAAATCTGCAAGGTTCGCTACGAGAGCTTCTCAAGTTCTCTACAGGACCACATCTTTTCGATTGGACACATAAGCCTGCTGAAGAAACACATCGAGTTCTCTAAGGACGACGATCCCGTGCCGAACCCTCAGAGTCAGGGACTGTCCCTGACGACGGCCACATCGCAACTCGGTGAGCAGAGTGCGTTCAGTTCTGAGCATAGCCAGCTTGTGCAACAACTCCAGCTGCTCAACCAACTCAATATCCAGCAGCAGCAACAACAACAACAACAACAGCACCATAAAGAAGCTCAGAACGATAGTGGGAATATGAAAAACGTGGACAGCACAAATAACAACCCCTCCGACGACTTCTCCCTGTTTACGGGAGCTCCCCCGAACCTCAACACGGGGCAGTTCTCGTTTTACGGGGGACAAACTCCGTCTGCTGCGCCTCTTTTCACCTCGAGCCAGCCGTGACCACCCCGTCCAGCAAGAGACCACCAGCTGATGAAACATCGAGTGATTCGTGCGCTGAACGCCCCAACACCGGCGGATGAAACCCACGGTGGGAAAGAAAAGATGGAAAGTTGATGTTTGGCAAAGATTGTGGACTACTTCAGTGAAGTTGGCTCGGAGTTGTAGTGAACTACGTCTAAGGCAACCGACGAATACGAGAGGAAGCCCCCGTGTCGAAGCAGACACACATCACGAACTCGGCTCTGACCGTGACAACGATGACGACCAGGGGTCGTGGACTCCTCCTCCCAACCCCCCCCCCTCATTCTGGACGTTCGAGTCCCGGAACCTTCCCCTATATTGAACCCTGAGCATATCAGCATCGCTCGCGCAACATTGGACGATCCAACGATGGAGGAAAATGTGAAACCTGTGCTCTGTGTGTGTGTTTGAGTGGCCGATATAACGTGGAGTAATCCCGACGAAAACCAAGACGGCGACGACAGCGACCAATACGATGGTCCTCTAGACGACGAGGATGCAGGGAATCAGTGCGCGCAGGAAGACCAAGTGACAAAAAAAATATACGTTGAATTGAGGGCTCGAATCCTCAATGTGCCGACTCGAAGCGAGTAGGTGCAGTGTAAATATATTTTACATAAGTGAAGGACGCGGTGTGGGCTCCGCATCCGGACGACTAGGGTACTCCAGTGTTCCTCCGCATTGTGTATAGTTAAATGATTGATATGTACGACGAAGACTTCGATGATGATGGATGACGCAGACGACTGACAACAAACAAAAGTGAAAATCACGATTCCGAACAGAAAACACTTAGCGTGGAAGCGAAGCTCTAGATAACAATTGTCGACGACAAAAGAGAAACCACCAGATTTAGAGCGTATATCGAAACCGGACGTGAATACCCCCTCCTCTGCTCCATCCGTGTCGTCAACACGCTTTCGATTGTGATTGATGGACGTCTTGAATAGTACAACGTGACGGCAGGACGTACCAACGTGACCGCGGATGGACAGTTGTATGGGACTTCACGGACGATTCTAAGATTATCAATTCAGATGAGAGTGGGTCAGCAAATACTGAAGCAAACTGTAGAAAAAATGTGCAATTTTTTTCACTGTCCACGGTGGCGGAGCCTCAGCTCCGTGCGCCTTCTGTTTGGGCTCTGAGCAGGCGGCATCATCCTTCTGACGACGACGCCAGGCCCAGCCCGTCTCCACTGTGACCAGCTTTAAGGGGAGGCTTTATTTTTAATAAAGACTACCCGGAGCGCCTAGCAAGCAATCAATCGGGCAAGTTGGGCAAATTCTTCTGTCTGTGTCTGATTACGCTTTGCTATGAGGCCGTCCCTCCCTTCTTCCTCGGGTGGGGCCATGCCGCCCACAAAATACGAAAGTTCCTATCTTTGATGTGTCATTTGATAACGATCATAGTACTATAATAGTAACGAAGGAATGCCTACCGACGACGAGAAACTGTAAGCATGCAGAGCGAGAAAAGAGAGAGAGTCTGAAAATGGTCGAGAGCAAGTAATAATCGAAACCAATCAACTAAACTGAATTTAGAGCATCTTCAATTCCCCGGCGGGTCTTTTGGCCTTTGCGGACTATACGTGAAACTTTTAGCGAGAGAGAGAGAGACGAGCAAGCAAACTAAATTGTGTATGAATGTGTACACCGTAGTTGATCTGTTCAGAGGATGAAGTGTGTCGGCTCGCGGTTGCGACCTCGGCTTCGGCCTGGGGTGAGCCAATGAGTGCACGTTTTATGCAATTAGCGGCGACAGCGGCAGCAGCGACGACGACAATGGCACTGCATCCGAATCAGTTGAGCCTGTTCAAAATTTACAAACTCGTAGTGAATCAAACAAATCAAAGCGCTTGCATCATGGGAGAGAAAAATCGCTCGCGCGACTCGTGACGGAGTCGCCCGACGGTCGACTGCTCTCGCAGGCAGAACGTACTCTGTACATAGGCATCCAATCATCGACTCGCACGATGCTGATCAAGACGTTTCTCTTCATCCATTCGAGACAGCACGAACCCTTAATCGCCCCCTTACATACAGCAGATAACAACGTTCCTCGGAATTTCCCCCTCTTTTCCCGCTTGTTCCGGAACAATCGATGATGCCTCAAAACATGAAAGACCTCAAGTACCTAAAGGTTCCTAGTTCCTCCCCCAATATATCGCGGACACCGATACCCCGGTAGAGTTCTCAAGTTGACGCGATTTTTCATCTCTTCAAAGTCTCCCGTGTATTCTGCGTCCTCCTCGAATCCGGACAGAATTCGATCACAGATTCGAGACCGGAGGCTGATCATCAAATTCGCGCGATCCTCTCGCCCTCCTTTTGTCAGCGCGGGCATTTCCATCGTTATGGCTCTACAATTCTTCTTGATTTCATTTTCGTTTTCTCATTCGAGACGACTGCTCCAGATTTGCGCAAGCTCAGTTCATGCTTTCCTCTTCCGAAAAACCACCCTGTTTCCGAAACCCGTGGATGGCTCGTCGCCCGAAACGAACCTCCTCCGGTACCGGTTGTACAATAGCAGCCAGAGATTCACTTGTTTGCTCTCTCGAATCAAAAACGAAACGGCAGCAGACACGTAACGAGAGCCTGATTGAAAGTATTTTTCTCCTTTCGTTTACGTCGATTCCTAATCCCAAATCGCGGCGTGAGCGATTTAATCGATATTTCCGCAGCTCCTCCTTCCGAAGACGGTCGCCGTCGTCGACCGGGGCTGGGAAGGCGCAGATGATCAAACAGATGATTCATGATGATTTTGTTGCTGTACATATTGATAATAATTTATAGACGACGGCGTACTCGTTGTATGAACTTCGTACAGCGACGTTGATTTAGTTGGAGAGAAGAGCGCTGAATGATGAACGCAAGAAAGATAAAAATGCGCCCCTAGGTTTAATTTATTATAACTATCTGACCGGAAGACGAAGAGGGAGCAGATACATTCAAGGTACAGAGAGCAACGGTCGAGTGTTCCTAGGTAGCTCAATCACAAATTAAGTTCCACCTGATGAAGTTGAATACGATTCATGATGGACGCTGCTATCAATGACTCGTGAAGATGATCATTGAGTTTTATCCCACACCCACAACTCCTTCCTGACCCGCCCAGCCTTAGGCCTCTATCGCCCCGGAAACCTTCGAATACGCAACCAGGGAACGTGATTGTGTTCAATGTAAATTGTTGGTGGATTATGATATTGAAGATGATGAAGAAACGTGGTGATGACGATAATAATGACGACGATGATGATGGCAACAACAAAACAACAACAACAAACTGAAAAACCAAATAAGTAAATAAAATGAAACATTTATATATCAACAAATGAACCGAACATGTTTTCTCTCGGAATCGAGGGCTCCGGAAGGAGTGGAAGGGGAGAGGGAAGGTTTTAGTCCTGCAGCGGCTCTGATCCGACTCAGTCCGACTGACCAACCGAGATTCGCAGCTCGACTGCAATTGGACGTTCCCGTCTGGAAACCATGAAGAACATCTACCTCGAGCATTCAACTCTATGGCTCAATTCCTCGACTGAGGTATTCGAGAAAATTTGATGAGCTCAAGGTCCGCTCCTCGATAGAACCCCGATTCTACGCAGACTTGAAGGTTTTCGCTGTCGGAGAAGCGGTGACTCTTCGATTCTGTATTGTGTGTACCTAGCAGCTCCAGGGTTCCATGCAAGCACTGACAGCCTTAGGTTGAACGACTGCGGATTCCAGTTGACAAGAGACTTTGAGTCTTGAGGCAATGTCGCTAATTCCAGGTTGCGGCATCGTCGTCCGACTTTTCTCCTTCATTTTAAAACTCGCTCGTCCCTCTGCCTGCCTGTCGGTCCGTCACGCCGCACGGGTGCTGTATATCTGCGGTTCCATCTTCGCCGCTCGTCGGCGTCTCTTCTGTGAGTGTGTTTTCTTCTCCGGAGACATTCATCCTACGCCCTTTCTTTTGACAAACAAAGAAATGCCATTATTAAGTCAAATAACGCCGAAAATATCTAAAACGAAGCCAAGAAGAAAGAGAAATAATTTTACAAAATTCGCCTGAACGCGCAACGGCGACCACGGTGCCGGCACAGCGCTGCCTCGCTCGGTGTGTATGTATTCTTCGTCGTCGTCTTTTTTTCTCTGCCGTCGTTGACGTTGTCTTCGACGCTTTTTCCATTTGATCGCCAGAGATGGCGACGGCAGCGAACGAGGGAAGCCGGACTTACAGACGAACGGATGGATGAACGAATGAATGAATGGTGGATCTAGACTCCTTCCCTCGACACCGCCGTGGTTTTTCGTTCATCTATGTATTTTCGCCGCTGCCGCTATTTCTGTTCTCGAATCTGATGCTGCCTGTGATTTCATGAGATTTTTTGTTCGACAGAGCAACACCGACTCTCTTTTAAACACCACCGCCACCATCGGCGGCTCCGGCTGCCGCCAGCGCTTGCAGTCAGAAGCAGTGGTAGCCGCGGTGAGCGTATTGTCGACGACAACCGGCATCAGGAGCAAGAGTTGACGCTGAAGAGAATCGACAGAAGAATAAACAGAAAACGGACGAATGAGTAGTCATTTGAGGGGCAGCCGTCGCCGGCACCGCGGATTTCTGCGCAAACCCAGACTGCCAAGTGTTACCAGAGCCAAACACTTCGCCGGCGACGGAGGCAACACGTAGATATCGATCACCATCTTTCTTATTCATGTGAACGAGGAACGGGAGAGCTTAAAGGAAAAGTTTGCCCCCGATTCATCCTACCCGCTAGGCATGCGCCAGATCTTCAGCATTCTCAGAAGGAGCCTGAAGCCGGAGACAGAGACCCATTCTTTTCCCATAGGAGTATCCGGATTATTTCGGGAGATTCGGACCGAAACCCGAGGATTCGTCCGAGAGTAGGCGATTCATATTCTGCCGACGAGCAGGGAAGGAGTCCGATTGAATCTCGTGGGTAAGGTTCCCCTTTTCTTTTAGTTTTTTCGGGATGA